ATCGATAAGAAACATTTATAGCATTTCAGATTTTTTTTACTATTTTTAATGGACTGTATGATTCTGTAATTCACATTCACTCCAATCCATGTAAGTATAAATGTTATGACCCATCCCAGTGCCAGTGCTCCTATTGCTTGACCTGCTGCTCCTACTATGTTGAAATTAATGGCATAACAAATTATGTCCTCATCTAGTCCCAACCTTTCTATAGCAGTTAAATGAGCTATTGGGTAATTACCATAAAAACATTGTAACTTAATACTAGTAGCTGAAAATGGGTTGTTGTTGTATGGGTATATTATAAGAATATTAGCCCAAAATGTCCATATTACTCCACCAATAACCAAACATACTGTCCAGAAGAGTTCCCAGATGTCATGCGTTGTTAATATAAATCCAAACACTACAGTATTGTTACCATTCCTCCTGATATATGGAAACATGATCCTCACCAGTTTATCAGGAGTAAGAACACACCAACCAAACATTAGTACTGTGACTACAGATATAGCAGCAAAAATTAATGGTACAAAGAAAAAAGTATACAAATATGAAGAAGCCATCCTTTCTCTTGTCAAGTCTTCCATTGATGATCAAGCAGTTATTACAATGATATTGTTCAACAGTATATATAATGATTGTTAGAAATATTTGATACCTACACCTACATGTACATGACGTATACATGTATTTATAATAATGTACATGTATGCGTAATTGTGTGTATACTGTACTTCACATACTAAGTTTTTATTTATTTATTTGCTTATTTATTTTTTAATTAATTTATTTATTTATTTATAGTTACGTCAGATGTTTACTGATATCATTGAACTACGGAGGAAGCTCTTCAAACTGCCTAACTCTAATTATCCAGTTTCAATATTACCGGAATACTCTGTACCTTTTGTAATATACCTCCTGGCACACAATCCATCATTCAGTCGGATCAATCACAAATCACTTCTAACCTGCAGAGAGTGAGTTATCCATATACATGTACATGTATACACATACATGTACATGTACATGTATATGTATGTGTATATGTACATATGTATGTTACATGCATCAGGGTTCTGCCTAGAAAAAAATTAGAGGTGGTTAGGGACTAACATTGTTCCTTTTAAATTTATGTACCCCATACTAGTAGACTACAATATCATGCTTTATGTATGGCTATTAGTATTAATTGGATGGTTGGTCTAAGTGATGAACTGGTTGGCTCATTTGTTGAGGTGGTTGTCCCGACCACCATAGGCAGAACTATGGTGTATATGTATGTACATGTATACATGTATTTTATAGTATCATTATTACTGTGTAGCAGTAGCTTCAGGTTTTGTTGGGGAAAAGTTTTGCTAAAGTATCTTTTTCTTCCAGTAAATTGTGGATGATTTTGTCAAGCGAAGCACCCTGACAAAATTGGCAAAATTTGCCCCTGATGAAAAATTTCAACAATATTGTATTATTATTATTATTATTAATTTATTATTCCCTTTTATTTCTCTCCCTCTCTTTCTCTTACTCTCTCTTTCAGTTGTCTATTGTTCTATATTGAGCCTCTAATATCTAAAGCTGATAATTACTTGTTCCTTGGTAAGATGTTTGAGCTGATCAAGCAATACGTTGATGCACAATCTCCCGATGATCTTGAAATCAATAAGGTTTGATTAATGGGTGTGGTTTACTGTTACCATGGCAATCATTCATTTGTAGAATATCTATGCAGTATGTGATTTAGCTTCAGCCATATTGCATGAAAAGGTAAGCTACTACTATACTGTGACTAGCTGTAAAATGGCTCCGGAATCACCCCCAATTTTTATTACATTTTCTGATACATATTGATGTCCTTATGCTGTGTAGAAAGTTTGAGCCAATTCCGACTTTAATTTTTCAAGTTACGGCCATTTTAAAAAATTAGCCAAAATCTGAAAAAATCCCTGTACTATAGCCCATGGTTTTTCCCAAAAAATGGCTCCAAAATCACCCCCAATTTTTATTACATTTTCTGATACATATTGATGTACTTATGCTGTGTAGAAAGTTTGAGTCAATTCCGACTTCAATTTTTCAAGTTATGACCATTTTAAGAAAATGCCAAAATTCTGCAAAATACCCAAGGCTATAGCCCATGGTTTTTTC